TCCAGCTTCCTTCCTCCCTCCTTCCCTAGTCACAGCGCCTCCATGATCCCTACCCTCCACCCAATACCTCCCAACTCCTGCCATCTTTCTTCTCCTGACTTCCCTCCTTCTCTCACCCGATGAACCCTTGCATGTCCTACCCTCATCTCCTCTCTGCCGATTACTCACGGTTTCTCCAACTCCCTCAGGTAATATCTGTTCCTTACTGTCCCCTTTTTCAGGTTGTTTCTTTTCCTTTATGGCCATGTATCCTCTCCCTTTACCTGGCTCCTGGTGTTATATCAAAATTTAGTCACATATAAAGGATTGGTACTACAATCCACAAATGAGGGAGAACATACATCACTTGCTTTTCTGCGTTTGTGTTACCTCACTTAGTATAACACTCTCTTAATTCCATTCATTCACCTGTAAATTTCATAATTTTATCTTTTCTTACTACTGAGTAGAGCTCCATTGAGTATATGCACCACATTTTCATTAACCATTTGTCTTTTGAGGGACACTTAGGTTGTTTCCATTTCTTAGCTGTTGTGAAGAGAGCAGCACCAAACATGGATGTACAGGTATCTCTACAGTATGATGAGTCTTTGAATACGTGTCAAAGAGTGGTATCACTGGATCATATAGTAGGTTCATTTTCAGTTTTTTGAGGGTTCTCCACACTGCTTTCCATAGTGGTTGCACGAGTTTGCATTCCCACCAGCAGTGAATGAGCATTCCTCTTTCTCCACATCCTCTCCAGCATTTGGAGTCTTTCGTTCTCATGATCTTTGCCAATCTGACTGGGGAAACAGGTTTTTATATGCATTTATCTAATTACTAAGGATGCTGAACATTTTTTAAGGTTCTTCTTAGCCATTTTTATTTCTTAGTGTGAGAATTCTCCGTTTAGATCTATCACCCATCTTTTTATTGGGTCGTTTATTTTCCTTTCTTTCTTTCTTTCTTTCTTTCCTTCCTTCCTTCCTTCCTTCCTTCCTTCCTTCCTTCCTTCCTTCCTTCCTTCCTTCTTTCTTTCTTTCTTTCTTTCTTTCTTTCTTGAGTTCTTTGTATATTCTGGATATTAATCTTCTGTCAGATATGTATCTGCTGAGTACAGCTCCATTGAGTATGTTGCTTTGAGTATGTTGCTCCCACTCAGTGGGTTTCCTCTTTCCTTCCTTGGTTGTTTCTTTTGCTGTACAGACTTTGTAATTTAATGAGGTCCCACTTACTGATTGTTGACCTTAGTGCCTGAGCAGCTGGTGTCTAATTTAGAAAGTCCTTTCTTATGCTTGTATTTTGGAGGGTGCTGCCTATGTTGTCTTCTAGCAGTTTCTGAGTTTCAGGTTTTATATTGAAGTCTTGGACCCATTTGGAGTTGACTTTTGTGCAGGGTGAAAGATAAGGGTCAACTTTCATTTTTCTGCAGGTGGAGATCTAGTTTTGCCAGCATCATTTATTGAAGATGCTGTCTTTCCTCCATTGTGTATTCTTTGCACCTTTGTCAAATATTAGGTGGGTGAAGTATATGAACTCATACTTGGGTCTTCTATTGTATTCCATTGATCTACACATCTGTTTTTGTGCCAATACCATGCTGTTTTTATGACTATAGCTCTGTAATATAATCAGATCTGGTACAGTGATCCTCCACCATTGTTCTTTTTTGCCCAAGATTGTTTTGGCTATCTGGGATCTTTTGTGATTCCACATGAATTTTAGGATGATTTTGTCAAGCTCTGTGAAGAATGTCATATGAATTTTTGATTGGGATTGCATTGAATCTATAAACTGGTTTTGTTAAGATGGTCATTTTCACAATATTGGTTCTACCTAATTATCTATTAATTAGAAGACTTATCTTTTCTTCCTAGACCAATATATTTTGGAAGCTGTCTAAAAGATCAAGAAAATGCCAATATCTCTAGAGTAGTATCTGTACAATCTTATCCCAGAACAAAATCTACCATGTTGCTGTATATAATCATGGTGGTTATTAATTATAAATAAGTAGTATCAATCAAAAGTAGAGAGGGATATTATTTAAAAAACCAACCAGGAAAAATAAATACAAATCCACATTCACCCAAACGCAGAAGAACAAAGGAATACATATTAATTGTGAATGGAATAGTTTTGGGGTTGTATTTGAAGTAAACAGCATTGCTTAAGACTTTGATGTTAAATTATAGCAATAAATCATTTGTGAATACAGCTATTAAATTCTCAAGTTTTAGAGCACCCATATCATTCCAAAGCAACAAAGTACATTTCTTAAACTCAGATTTTCACTAATTTAGACTAAATTCTTCCATTTTTGTATACATTATTCTAAGTAAATATTTGGTAGCAATAAAAATCCCAACTTTAAAAGGAGTGGCCAACAATTTCAGCAAGGTTCTTGAAAGACTTTTAAATAGAGATTAGCCAGTAAATCTCAAGAATCTGAATATAATCAGTTACTGGGTACAGAAGAAATAATGGGACATTTTACATATCTCCAAAGTAAGAATAAAACTAATCAAAATGATCCAAAGTAGATTTGGATCTGAATATTGTGATATTATCCAAAATCTTAAGAACAACACAAGTATCACTTGCCAAAGAGAAGAAAACACCAAAAGGTTATTTTTAACTTTTTTAAAACTTTAGAACAGTAAAGACAAGAGCTCTTGTCTTTACATGGGTAACTTGCCATATCTGAAGAACCCCATGTTAAAAAGAGGAAAGTGTACAGGAATTTTCCACAATAAAGGGTATAACTTGTAATTTCAAAAAAGACAAAAACCAGTAAATGCTTCTGTTATAATTAAAACTTTCACAAATTACAGTATATATAGTTACTACACTTATTCTAGAAGAAAGAAATCTATACCTAAATAATAAAAGGTTATGTTTATAACTTGGAAGCTTATAGAGTACTTTTACACCATTCAGATGTGATTCTTATAATCCTAGATATAAAACCAAGCAGGTATGATTTCCATCTCACAAATGAAGAAGTTCAGGTGAGGCTGACAAATGAGAACTGCGTCTATGTCTTAACACCTCCATATTAGTTGTCTGCTACACAGCCATGGAAAACAATGCATACAAATCCAATCCATCTCTCCAGTGGAATATTAAGAATTTACAGAATTTTTTTTTTTGGTCTTTTTGAGACAGGGTCTCCCTGTAGCCCCAGCTGGCCTGGAACTTGCTGTGTAGATCAGGATGGCCTCCAACTCACAGAGATCCACCTGCCTCTGCCTCCCAAGTGCTGGGATCCTAAAGTAAAATATACTTTGTTAGTATTTACTTTTCTATTCCCCCAGGATAACTTGTCTTCTTGCTCCTGAAAAAATACATTCCAGTTTATTTCAATTGTATCAATAGGAGGATACATTGCTCAATTCCATTTTCTTTCTTGAGGAAACGCAATTAAGATGGAAAAAAAGTGTAATTTCAAAGACAGGAAATTTAAATCCTTGGTATGGTGCATGCCTTTAATCCCAGTACTCGGAAGGCAGAGGCAGGCAGATCTCTGAGTTCAAGACTAGCCTGGTCTACATAGTGAGTTCTAGGACAACTGGGGCTACAGGGAGACCCTGTCTCAAAAAGACCAAATAAATGAATGAATGAATGAATGAATGAATGAATGAACAGACTAAATAAATAAAGATTAAGGGAAAAGGAGAATTCAAAATGTGCTTGTATGGTATCAGTGTAGAAGAGCAGGAGGGCAAGAACTGCAATCTCCTGGTTGTCATGATTCTGGGTCTCAACTTCCACAACATTATATTCGTCCTTGGCACCCTTGGTCAGGTGGAGCATGTTCAAAACCAGCACATGCTCTGTATCATCCTCTTCTTCAACCTTGAAAATGAAGGAGGTGTGGCTGTAGAGCTCACAACCAAAGAAATTGAGCACAGAAATCAGCCCCAGCTGAGGAACTATTTACAACTGATAGTTGTTGGGAAAGCAAGAGTCAGTTTCTTAAAGGTATGATACCAGGTCCATTGACCAGGCTTCAGGCGATGGACCCACACCCGAGAGCATTTGGGAAACACAAATTAGATTCCACAGGCCTTAAAAACAATAACAGACGACATGAAGTGAGAGGGGTAGGGAGATGGGGGTAGATCTGAGAAGAGATGGAGGAGGGTGATAAAAATACACTGTATGAAATTCTGAAGTATCAATAAAAATATTAAAATGGGCTTATTTTAAAAGCATATACTTCAGTGAAATAAATAAAAAGAGGTAATTTCCAGCCAACTTTTACAAAAAGTCAAAATATGTGTGCAATATCTATCCTTAATCCTCTGTTTTCCACCATTGTGAAGAATTTGAAAAATTGGAAGGTGTTCTTTTTAAAACATTTACTTCAAGGCCAGCCTGGTCTATATAGCGAGTTCTCTAGGCCAGCTGGGGCTACAGGGAGACCCTGTCTCAAAAAAGACCAAAAAAAATTTACTTCTTATACATGTGTGTACATGTTTGTATGTGAAAGTACACACATGTCATAGCATGAAAGTAGAGATCAGAGGACAAACTATGTTTGGCTTTTACATGGGTTCTGGGGATCTGAACTCAGGTCCTCAGGCTTGCCCCAAAAGCACCTTTATCTGCTGAGCCATCTCCCTGGTTTGTGGAAAGTTTTATCTTTTGTTAGGCTTCTTTACTTAGAGACTACACATCCAGAATGCAAGTTTTTAGTTTCTGATTAGAAATGGTTTGTCTAATTTTTAAAAAATCTATAACATTAGGCTATCTTCAGTATTAAAAAAAAACTAGAAACTGGGACTGGAGAGATGGCTCAGTGGTTAAGAGCACTGGCTGCTCTTGCAGAGGACCTGGGTTCAATTCCCAGCACCCACATGGAAGTTAACAACTATCTGTAACTCCAGAGTAATCCAACACCCTCTTTTGACCTCCACAGGCATTGCAAGACATGGGTGCACTTACATGCAGTCAACATACTCATACAGATAAAATAAAAACAATAAAATGTTTTTTAAAATTAGAAGACTTACCTCACAATCAGGACACTTAATTGTGTCATATTCTTCAGTTACTAACAAGCACAGTTCACAAAAAGCATGTCCACACTGAAGATCATGGTGGTGACCTATTGATGAAAGTCCATCAATAAAACTTTCCACAATTTGTTAATGTTGATTGGGGAGTAGTTACCCACAAAGGGCAAATTCAAGTAGTATTCTATTGTACAAGATACATAGTTTAGACATGGCTGACTTATTAAAACAAAATTTAAGAGAAACTACAGAGGACAGAAGGAGGGAGAAAAATCAAAAACATTCAGAGCTATGTAATGTTTGCATGAATTTGATTATTTTCAATGTATAAAACTAAGAATTTGCCATATCTTACAATCATAGAGTGCTCTGATATATTTCATTTGACCTTTGTAAATAACATGTGTAAATGGGTTGGGAATATTATACCCAACCTAGATATAAAAAACTATGTTGGTAATTTGGCTATTAAATTATATAATCCAGATGCCTACCTTCTGTTTCTAAAACCAATCTTTCTGCTCAGTAATACTACCCTTGACTAGTTTGTATTTCCTATCATATGAAAGGTTTAGGGAAGGTTTAAATGATACACTGGTAAGTATTCTCTGAAAATAATCAAGATGTTTGCATGGATGAAAATCTGGACAGAAGTAAATGTTACTATGATCATATACATGACCCACATTAAGATTATTTTTGCAAACCTAGTATTTGTTAAAAGAAATATAACCTTGGCTGAAAACCCAGTATCAAGATTTAAATGTGGGGTGAGATGGCTCAGAACCCACATAGTGAAAGTAGAGTACCAACTCCCATAAGCTATTCTTTGATCTCCACATACACACACATGCACGCACATAAAATAAAAATTTTTAAATACTGTTTTAAAAGATTTAAATATATGAAGTAGAATTTGAAGTTTATCATACCCAACTTTAAAAAATTATGTAACTTTAGAACAGAGTGGCATTTAATTACATTATTTTTGTGAGTTTTCATGTTTGTGCAAATGTATACACACTTGTGTATATGTATGTAGAGGTCAGAGGACTACCATAAGTTGTATTTCTAGGGAGCAGTCCACCTTGTTTTTTGAGACAGGGTCTGTCACTCACCTGGAGCATGCCAAATAGGCTGACTGGAAAGTGAGCCCCAGAGAACCACCTAGGCAGAGATCTCTGCCTCCCTAGAGCTGGGGTTAGAAGTGCTACCCATGATAATTAAAAGTACCAGACTGGTGGAGCGCACCTTATTGGATGTTTAACAGCCATAGTTTGAGGTCTATACTAATATGGTCAGAGAGACCTGAAGGACAGTTTTTGCCCCTTGCCTTTCAAGGTCGCCTAAGTTCCAGGGGACTATGGGACACCTTTCAAAATGTCCTGTAACTGTGGTGAGTCACCTGTCCTCTTGTTCAGGGAGGCCATGGAGACCCCATGAGATGGACCTGAACCAGTGTCCAGTCTACAAAGAGGAGGGTCAACTCAGAGGAAACATCTCATTCATACTTCTAAGTGAAGCCAGACATGGTCAAGCTTTGACTTATCTTCACATAGATGGAACTGGTAAAAGAAAGAAGCCAGGAGCTCCCCGCAAGCCCATGTCTGAACAGATCCTCAAATGACCTTAAGTGAAAAATAAATTAATTTATTTGGGCTAACTGTATGGTCTTAAATACCCAAAAGGAAAGTATAACCAAAGAGTAAAGTAATCAGTATATTTCTTTAAGTTCGAGCGATTACACTTCCCAGACATTAGGCTTAAGTCATATAAAAGGTTACTTAGACAATTATTTCCCATTGATTTTGCTCCTAATCAAAAAGTGCTGTTCAGATGTAAGACTTCAAATCTTGGTCTGCAATACTGTAGTTCCCACCTGTAGCTAAGGGAGACAACCTGCTGCTGTTCTAAAATGATGGATAAATTTGTTTTCTCCCCCTATCTAGAAGCCTTTGAGAGGGCACTGACACTGTTTCTAACCACTCCAACAGTTATCAAAATACCTGAAAGCAAATCCTGAATCCATCACTCTAGAGTCCAGCCTTGGAAGACAAAAGAAAAATGAGGAAAAACCCAATAGAGGGATGCTTTTGGAAGCCCTTGTCAAGAAATTCCAATGGACTCTCATATGAACATTTGAAAATTGCCCTGTTCTGACCTTTCTGTAGTCCCCTGTCTAGAACTTGTAATGCTAATTACTCTTGCCTTTACTTCTCCTTCACATCTCCTATTCATGATTCAAAGACTTTCTTTTCCTCCTAGAAATAAGAGTTATGCAATTTGGGAGTCTGTTAGATAGACCCGCTGAAGGGGTACTCCAATTGCCTCACCCCGCGTCCCTGCTCAGAATCGAAGAAACCAGAGTGGTCTGCGTCTTGATTCCCTATTGGCAATTTGGGAAACCTCTTCAGAGGATGGTGTGATAAGAATAGGAGGTAGGAATTGGCTAGGCAGTTAGGGTAAAAAGACCCCAAAGAAAAGTAGCCAGTTTCTTGGCTAAAAGTCAAAATGTCCTTGGGCCTCTTAGCAACCTACTCTGTTCCAAAGGCCAAAAATGTCAAAAATATTTGGGAGCTTTTATCTAATCCTTAAAAAGATTTTAGGGTTACCTCTTCAGAAGGGGGAATGTTAGAGTAGCCAAAAGCACCATAAAAAAAATTAAAGAAGAAGAAAAAGTATATGAAGTTATCAGGAAAAAAGTGATGGGGAGATATGGGAGGAGTTGGAGGGGAGGGAGTGGGCATGGATTTGATCAAAACACCTTATAAGCATGTATGAAATTCCCAATAAATTATTAAAAAAAAAAGAAGTAAGTGCTACCATATCAAGGTTTTTTTACATGAGTTCTGGGGTTCAGTTTCTCATATTTGGAAGGCAAGCACTTTACCAACAGCTTTCTTCCTAGCCTGTGTGCCATTTTATCTATTATTTTCATTTTATGTGTATGAGTGTATAGCTTGTATGTAAGTCCACTCATGCAATGCCCAAGGAGGATAGCTAGAGGGCCTCAGACCCCCTAGAACTGGAGTTATAAATGGTTGTTAGCTGCCATGTGGGTGCTGGGATCCAAACCTGGGTCCTGTGCAAAACAGCCAGTGCTCTAAATTGCTACATCATCTCTCCAGCTCCCTATGTGCCATTTTAAAAGAGCTTTTTTTTGGGGGGGGGGTAAGAAATAAAAGAGAAAGGAAACTAGAGTCAGTGATGTTTTACTACAACATACTTATAGAAGTCTTGATGAATTATAACACATGTATTAATTTGACTTTTAAAAAAAGCATTCTAGGGTTGGAGAGATGGCTCAGCAGTTAAGAACACTGGTTGTTCTTGCAGAAGACTGTCTGTACCTCCAGTTCCAGGGTATCCAACAGCCTCTTCCACCCTCCGTGAGCATTGGATGACATGGGTGCACTTACCTACATGGAGGCAATACATGCATTAAAAAGACAAACAAACAAAACAACAACAACAACAACAACAACAAAATAATAATAGCTGCCTCCTTGGGCCTGCAGGACCCGCAAGCCTCTCTCTGACGTGCAGGCCTCTCTCTGAGGTAAGTACATCCTGCCCTCCAAGCCTTGACTCCCCCAGCCTCATTCACCCTCCCATCTCCCCTACCAGTCTCTCCTCCTAGCCTGGGTCCTGTCCCATTCCTTGTCTTGGCGCCCCAGACACCCGGGGAAACACAACTGCTTCCTGATCCTTTGCATCCAGCCCAACTCTGTGCCTTCTCGGGTCCCCAGGAGCGCTACCTCTGGGCCTGGCCCCACCTTTACCTCCTTCTACTTCCCTGGCCCTGCACCAATCGCCAGTCTCTTTGTGTGACATGGGGACTGACCTTTCCCCTTCCTGATTCCTTGCATCCAGAACAACCCAACTCCTCAGTGCAGTCCCCAGGAGCCCTTGGGGCCGCTTCCTGCCCCCATTTGCCTTTGTATCTCTGGGTGGCATGGCCAACAGCTGCCCTAGACCACCATCTATCCGGGGCCCAGCTCCCAGGCCAGTCCAACACCCAAATTCCTGAGGCCAAAATCTTTCCTGGAGGGATCCAGACCTTAGGAGAAATGCTGAGAACATCTGATCCTCATCTGACTTGGGCATCTGTGAGAATGCCTGAAGACAAAAGCAATCTGGTCATTCCAATATAAAATCAAGGGAGAGAACCGGAAGCTTAGACAAACCAGCTTTTTGTGCCCAAAAAGTAAACCACAAAGACACATAAAGTTCACAAGAAAAGCAGACCTAAACTTGAAGGCTTGAGTCTCACACAAGAATCAGAAACTACAAAAGAAATCCACATGTCAAAATCGCAGAGAAAAAATAGTAATGTGAAAAACCAAAATAACATATCCCCAGGAAATACCAATAGTCCTCTAGAGGAGTACAATGAGAATCCCCTAGAGACAATGCAGGACATGGAACTCAAAAGAACAATGATGAATATGATAAAAGAATTCACTGAATTTAAAGAACACACAAAAGAAATTCACATGTCAAAATCACAGAGAAAAAATA